GGTGTTTGAGAACAGGGTGTTGAGAAGAATATTTGGACCGAAGAGAGATGAAGTGACAGGAGGTTGGAGAAAACTGCTTAATGAGGAGCTTCATAACTTGTACTCCTCTCCAAGTATAAGTAGAATGATCAAGTCACGGAGGATGAGGTGGGCAGGTCATGTAGAAAGCATGGGTGAGACGAGGAATGCGTACAGGATATTGGTTGGAAAGCCAGAAGGAAAGAGACCACAGGGAAGACCAAGGCGTAGGTGGATGGACAATATTAGAATGGATCTTAGAGAAATAGGATGGGATGGTATGGATTGGATAGATCTGGCTCAGGACGGGGTCCATTGGAGGGCTCTTGTGAACACAGTAATGAACCTTCGGGTTCCATAAAATGCTGGGAAATTCTTGAGTAGCTGCAGAATTGGCGGCTCCTCTAGAAGGGCTCAGCTTCATGAGTAAGTATTCTATTTCATGCTTTTCCTTACTTACTTATGCTTCACATTTTTGTTTATGCTATTTATTTAATTCTTGTCCAATATTTTCTTTTATGAATTAAACATACAGCCAGAAACTTAGCTGACGGACCAGTTAATTCCCTCATATTCATCCCTCTTTCATATATCTCCTTTTCCTTCCCACTCATCTTTTTAAACTTTTGACTTACTTAACCGGTACCAATGATGCTGGTGAATGATAAATAAGAAACTGGAAACGGAAAATTTAAGACCTAACAGGCTGGTCTAAAGGTAACACTCTAGACTTGTATTCAGCAGCTGCTCAGTTGAAATCTCCAGCAAGGATATTATCTAGTCTGACATGTTTCATGATTTTTACTCAGCCCTTCCTAGCAAATGCTGGGATAATGCCCAGACTAGGCAACACCTGTATAACACCAGCCCATATAATTTCAGTCCTGACTCTCAAGAATAAAATTTTGTAAAAAAATCATCTGAAAACTGAGACCTTTGGAAACAAAATAATAAAAAGAATCATAATTTCAACCAAACTTTAAGCTAATAACAAGGGCCATGACAATATTAATCACAAGAAGCTGCTCGTATGACTTGTATGACACATGACATCAGTCAACCTAACAGAGATCTCTCCAGTATGGATCACACTTGTCTACAAAGAAGTCTGAAAGTTTCAGTGCAGCTCGGTAGAATATGCGAGTATAATCTGTTTCGGTTGGTCCTTCTTTTCGTTATGGCTACTTTTTTTTTTTTACTCATATTGACATGGCCCCCAATTCGTTAATTTAATCCAGTTGAAATTATGGTTATTCTTATTACTCTTCTTCGAATCCCCCCCCCCACTTTCTTTCTTCTCTTCTGATTTGTTTCCGGCGTTTTATTCTTGACCTGAAGGCTGAACGTAATGACTTATTTTCTAGCGTGCGGTAGCGCGATTCCATATGTTTTAGATGAATGTACGTTTTGCGCGGAAATGAATATCTTAGTTCTCGTAAATGGCTTCTGTTGGAAGGCGGTTGCTTTGTTCGAACCAAATTAACTTCAGCCCTCAGTGTCTATGGCGAAAACAGTCCTACATAGCGCTTAAGTTTAACAATACTGGTGTCTGTGGGTTGAGAGCAGTTCTAATGAGGAGCCTATCAGAATGGGTTTCCTCACCTGAAGATGGAAAGAGAGCTAATTTTAAAAGCAATGATTAAAAAACAACGGCCGGAAAAGTCCAAATAGTAATTTGAAGCCATTAAGATTCTGGTCTTTCGTCATTTTAAATGTATTACGACTCTGGCAAACTGCTCTCAACGGTGACTTACTTCACCGCTTCTTCAGCACGACTTCCCACTGTCGGGCAAAAATATATAGCAAAATTAAAGTTAGTTATTTTAAAACGTTTAATAAAGTATTGAAATTAAGAAAATGGTTGACAAACCACAGGGATGTTGCAGTAAATGATCATGGTCTATGTTCTTGGGGGGCCTCAGGAAAACTACAAGAAGCACTCTATCAGAACAACCAAACTCCAGTGATTCCCCAGGCGCTTACACCATACAAAATATCGTCTCATCAATTGGATCAACTCTCGAGAATCGACTCCGGGACCTCCACACCGAAAAACAGGAGTATTTACCGCTACATCATAATACTTAGTGTCATTCAAGGAGTCCTGTCAAATACGTATCAGTATCACATTTCATAAACAGAAACATCAGAACACTCACCAGAATGCTTGGTGAGGATGGACAAAATAAAGAACACTAATTCCTGTGATAGGCCCATATGTATATCCTGTTAACTAAAAGCGACAAAAGAAATTCAACGATGATAATGATGATGACGACGACGGTATTATAACAATCCACAGTGGCCTTGCTGAGAGAATTACAATTCAAGAAAGCACAATGGGCAGGCCCATCATTATCCACTCAAGGTAAGAAAGAAGTCAAGCTACCTAATGCTGACAGAGGATCTTTGGATCTTTTTTGTCAAAGTTCACCCTTTATTTTGTATTGTTTCAGAACTGAAGAACTAAAATGGACATTGTATCAAACTACAGCTTATGTGTTTCGTATAAGAAGCAGATAGCTGCATGTGTTATGGAAATAATGCCAGCATATGCCTGCACTATGCAGCGAAAAGGCCAACGAATTTTCAAATTTGTCAACGTTTGTAATTTCAACTCAGTTATAGTGTTTTGTCTATACCTGCAACATAGACATTCACCTACAACAGCAGACAATAAGACTTACTAAGTACATACCCAAACACCTGGCACTTCATAATCATATAAAAATAGTATACACTATGAAGAGAAGTATATGAATAAAAAATAGATTTGATCAGTGGCTGCAAACCTGAATTGATACACTGAATTCAGTTCCATTGCAAACTTTCAACAATAATTTTATGTTCAGGTAAAGACATAAAATAGCTAATTGATAAGTAAATTCACACCGAGTGGGATTGTTATGCACATTCTGTATGGCATGTACACATACAGAAGAGATCACATCCATTTGTTTGAATCTGTACATACTGTCACGATTTAGAGGTGGCTACAGAGACAGTATGGATTGGTGAATGGGTTTATTGACCACTTATACACACCACTCGGAACTACAGGTAATTACAGCGCTATCGCTAATATCCACAATTTACAAATAACCACAGCATCCGCTAAGCCTTTTTCCAGCCTGCTCTCTCTTCACCAGCCGTTCCCTGGCAACGGCTTCTAACAGTGGAGATTCTTACTAGTCTTCTCTTCACAGGCTGACTTCCAACTAACTTGGTCGCACCCATTGTCTTCCTTATAACACCTCTGCAAGGACTGAGTACAAAACTCCGTTTCCAACAGTAGCTCTTTTGTTGTAGAGGTGTGTTTACCACGCCGCTGCATAGCAACGGCTGTTGTCTCGTTGTTTGTTTAGAGTCTTTTCCCTAGAAACGGGTCTATACGCAACAATATACGTGTAAAACTATCATTAAAGTAAAATAAAGGCATCCCTGTAACAGGCCGTGGAGGCCCATAGGGTTGTGAGATGTTGAGGTTTCCACATTTTCTCGAAAATCGGTTCATAGATGATGGGGAGGTTGTCAGCCCTACGCGCTGGCCGCCCTTTACCCCCAGAATATTCCAAGAATATTCCTGGTACTCATTTCTGATAGAGGCCGAGTCGACTCCCGGGGGCCATAGTGCGGCTGGAAGGTCAATTGAAAAAAAAAAAGATCCAATGACTTCATCGGGGCTTGAACCTGCGACCTTTCGGCTTGTAGGTAAAACTATGATACTGATTCTAATGAAATTGATACTTGGAGGGTTTTACTAAAGATGGACAATTTTCATTATGATCCATACTAGGTCAATAAATGTTCTTCTAAAAGCACGAAACTGCAACATGTTTTACTTTAATTCGATCGGTGCACAAAAACATACGTTTCATTGAATACAAATTTCATTACAATCTACAAGTCTTACATGAAATACTTTCGATGTGGCTCTGTTCGGTATGTCTGGAGCGCAATTAACTTTGCAAAAGCATATTTGCATCCGCAATAAATTAACATACAGTATAAAAAGTTACGCAAAAAATAAAAATATGTATTGTCCAGTCGAATAAAATGGGGCACGCGGTAGCGTAGTTGGTTGAGGAACTATGCTACAAGCCGGAAGGTCGCGGGTTCGATTCCCGATGAGGTCATCGGGGTTTTCAATCGACCTAATCCTTCCAGCCTCATTATGGCCCTGGGGTCGGCTCAGCCTCTAACAGACATGAGTACCAAGAATCTTTTTGGGGGGGGGGGGGAGGCGTAAAGAGATGCCAGCGCGTGAGGCTAGCAACCTCACCGCCATCTGTGAGCCGACTGCCCAGAAAATATGGAAGCCTCGACGTCTCACAACCCTATTGGCCTCCACGGCCTGTTACAGGGATACATAGCTTTATTTTACTTACCATTTGAATGAAATGCCTATTTCTTTCTATGGTCAGATACTACGCAGTTGCTGATGTCACTGTTCCGATTCATTATGAAACAGCCTTAACCATACAAGTTGGTTTCCGTAAAGGCAACTTACCGAGGAGACACTCTTCGTGGGTCGGTGGTATCGCACCTTCTTGAGGTAAACTGTGTAAATCCCTCCATCCACGCGTTCCTCACCCCACAGTCTCCACGTAGGCTGCTGAAACCAGAACACTTCATCAGTTACTGCGATACATGAATGTCACAGCAGAAGTTCAGTGCAAGCAGTTGTCTGGCTATCATCGAAATGGAAGGTTTAGTACAGTGTTTACAAGAGCCACTCGTCCCCATCACAAGCCAGTTTAAACCAGTTCACATGACTTCACCTTGTTAAGCCTATTAAACCATTCTTCCATCTACGTCTATGTCTTCCTACTTTTCCTATTTACCCTTCAGGCTTTGCTTTCTGACCAAACTGTTCATATAATTTTCATTTTCCCCCATGCATGTCATTGCTTAGGTCGTTTAAAGTACCTGTCCAACTCCAAGGCCTTGTAACATTTCACGCCATGTTGGATTTATGACTAAGGTTAAACCTCAGTGCTAGAAGACCACACGTGGAGGCTGTTCTCCATCCACGACTCGAAAACGCGTCATACTGTGGTGACAGTGATGTTATACAACGCAATATAACACAAAGCAAAAGTTTCTAGATATTGGAATCGTGGTTTTAAAGCCGATCAGAATTTGAACGATGGTCTTCGGGGTTTTAACTCCATGCGTACTTAGCCCCGGAGGCAGAATGGTGACAAAACCCAGAGGACGTCTGTGTGCCATTAAAACAGTACTATCAGCTTTTGAAATAATGCATCCTGAACTTGTTTTATCTGTTCCTGCTTCTGTTACAGGACTTGTAGAGATGGAAATGCATGTGCAATTTTGTCAAAAAAAAAAAAAAAAAAAAGAAGAGCTAAGGAAAATATACCGCCTGATAGACCTAGTCGATCACAGTGGCAGTGCGGTCGAATCTCATTTAAGACATGGGCGTCCATCTGCTTTTATTCTGTTTGTGTTGTCCTGTGTAGGCAGCGGCCTTCCGTCGGGCTGATCCCCCGTCCAAGGAGTCCTACTGACTGAGATTAAATTGAAGTGGAACGAAGCGTTTCATGGATGTCATATACTCCAAAGTGGAAACGACCGACCGACCGGCAGAGAGACAGACAGACAGACAGAGAGATAGATAAATAGATAGAGAGATAGATAGATAGAGCTAACCACGAATGGAAGGTAATATTAAAATGATTCAAGGCTTAAGAGTGCTTTCAGGATAGGGTACAGTGACAAGCTTAGGATAAAATGATATTGAATCTTTGGTTTACATACCTAACCAGCAGACGTTCTACATGTTATCAAGGAATACCCTGTACTGTGTTCTTCACTTCCTTAACAAAAATTAAGTTGTTCAGGATGACTAAAAATCAAGCACATAATAACGGTTTGGAGGGCAATTACAGCGTCCTTATAATCACGCGAAAAAACTGCGAGAAGCCGCAAGAAAGACTCCAGTACGACGGCATTTGGATTTTGGATTCAATCCAGAGAGCATCTAAATGTGAGTCAGGCCATTGTGATTATTTTTCAACACTGATAATACTAAATTACTCCCTTCAAGGTGCACAGAATCTTGCCCCACTGATCACATCGGGCCATCCACCACTTCCTGGACTATTTCTTAACATATCCGATACAATTCTTGCCCCCTTTACGGGTGTACAAAGTTTGCAAGATGTAGCTTATGTAATGGGCAAATGCTGACTGACACAAATCTCAGAATACCCGGTGTCTGGCCGAGATTCGAAATACCTACCTCTGGAATGAAACCAAATGCGTTACCACCCAGTTTTCTTCCTGGCTGTCAGGAGCCAGTCATCAACAGCTGTGAAGTTAAATTCCATAAGTGTTGTGTTCAGGACCACGAACGTTGAGTAATCGGTAACGCATTGCGTCTCTGACATACCCTGGCCTCTCCCTACAGGATAAACTACACCAACATTCCTTCCCAGTGCAGCGCCGTTATCGCACAGACATTTGATCTCAAAACTTCCCTGCCCACACAACATCGATTGCAAATAGACGTGTGACTCAGCGACCCCCTCTTTAGGATGCAGAACACAGCACTGTCGATTTATCAGCCGGGTACTTGAATGTGACAAATCCCAAAGCAGATAACATGGGTTTCTGCAAACCAATCTGAAAATGTGTGACGCTGTTGGTGACAAACCTTTTGTGTGTCCATGCTGTCACCTTCTGAGTATAACGGTGAGCAGTGGTGCGTATCAACCGGTGTTTAACACAACGAGGTCAAACCCGGGACAAACTATTCTACCCCCGCCGCCAAGGAATATCACCACGGAATAATTTTGGCGTTAACCCTCCCCTTTCCCCGCTCCAGAAGAATAAATGGAGTGGTTAACGGGATATGAGACAAGTCAAATCGACGGGAACTATTGGTGGAGCTAGGGATAAGATGATATTTCGGACGGCAAAATATTTACTGCCGCATTCTTATGATATAAAGGTACCAACAGCGTGCACTGGCGACTAGCACGCGTCCTCTCATCAGGCGTTGCAGAATGGCGACATCGGACTGGCCTGACATAGTGACAAGTGGTGAGGCGACTAACGTCTAACTACCTGCATCGAACCCGAGAGGGCGACGAAGAACCGATAAATAGTATGGTACAACGTCCTCGGCTTACTCTCAACAAATCGTTTTCGTGCGTCCAGAAAAGAGAAAGAGAGGCACTCCTTGACTCGGAGTTCTTGATGGACCTTATCATCCATATCCACGTGGCACGTCCTGGCACTGGCGGGATGACTTCCGCTGCAGTTCAAGCAGGACGAGCACAGTACCCCTTCGCAAGCCTCTCTCTCCGCATTTACCACACATCAGAAACGACTTGCATCGTTGTTGGGTATGTACAAGTCCCTGGCAAAGGAAGCATAGCATAGGGCTGTGGCCATACGGACATATGGTCTCTGCTTTGCCTGCAATTGTGTCTAGAGGCTTCTAAGTCACCTCGACGGATAAATAGTTCCATACCCGATGAAAATAATTCTTGCCAACATAACGAATTAAAAATTATAGGCCTAACCTAGGAAAATACCTGCAGTAAATAGTCTGGTGCAAAGAATTCTTACCAAATTCCGCGCACAAAACGATACTTCTTTGAAACAGTGGAGCCATAATTCTTCTCCGAGTCTTATATTACTTTAAACAAGGGGGATCTTATTAATCACCAAGTCGGTATCATATTTCACCAAAACTGTTGGATTCCGATTTAAGAAACATTTGTTGCCCAACATCAGTCTCTGAAACCACAAGGCTTAATCTTTTTTTTTTTAACGCGACTGAACGCTTAAACTGTCATCTATGTGAGATTTCTCTATCAATTGAGTGTTTCTTGCTTCCGTAGTTTGCAGAACATGTTCTACCCATCTCAGCAGCTTCATATACATTAATAGTAGGTCTAGTATTTATGTAATTTTCACCATTCATCTGATACATCTCTCTTAGGACCAAATATTCTCCTCGGAACGCAGTTTTCAGTCCCCCTCAAACCTACGTTGTTCCTCCAATATAAGAGAACAAATATCTCATTCATAAATAGCAAACAGCATAACATTATAGTTTTGTAATTTTAATAATTTCTTAAAGAATAGGAAAAGGGAGATATTTGTTAACCCATCTCAGCATAGGTGGACTCTTGCTAAACGCTACAACATAGCGACATCAACACAGGGAGCAGCCCTTACCCATATCATCATAAGAAAATCTAATATACATCACTCCAAATAAACAGCCTGTTGGGCGACATACAGAATAACGAGCCTAAGCTCCACAAAACGAGAGTAAGGTCAAGACCACACGACCTAACTTATGTGAGAAGATCCCGATACGCAGGCGCACCACACTGCAGTCACTTGTGCCTCCATAAAATCGCGTCAACACGTAGCTGTCACAGAGTTTTAGAAAGATTTATCGCAAAATATTTCATTTTCATTTTAGTACAATTTTAATTTTTGTTTTAATCTTTAGTCTTTAATTTTTTACATTTTATTATCTGCGTATTTTAAAATTTTTACTGAAAGACTTATTTCATGCATTTAAAAACACTCGAGTGCACAATAAGGATCCTTATTGAAGAATTAGGTGCAAACTGTTAGACGCAATTCAACAACTGAGTCTGGTATCACCGTACGCCTGTTGATGACCCAGTATAAGGGTCGAAACATGTAGCGTCAATAAAAACAAATGTTGATACGATATTGTCTATTTTGTTTTAAATACAGAATATTGTTGTGCAGACTGCATACTTTTGTACACATTTTATTTACGGTAATGAGCTTCGGGTTCCATAAAAGACGGGAAATTTCTTGTCTAACTCACCCACTAATAACTTCAATGTCTCTGGGGGTTAAATTCGTTAGTTAATCCGGACACACTGCCTTAAGCACCGGCTGTTTTTTGTAAAAGCATTACCTAATCTGGAGTGGGCACCACTTTATTTTTTACCACACCAAGACCGGAGCACAGCGAACGAAAATAGCAGTATATATGCTAGCGACCCACATCAACATCACAATTGCTTTCATTTATTTATTTCTTGCGATTGCAATATTTTCTCTATATTACGTATGAAGAAGTAAATATACATGCAGACCCCATGCCTATTATTATTATTCACACAGCGGCGGGGTAGACGAATTTTTCGCGAACTGTATTTCGTTCATTCCTGGAACCGGGATTCCTAAGTCACGTATAGGGATAGGCTACGAGCTGGAAGGCCTGGGCTCGATTTCCGACAGGGGTAAGATATTTTTCTTTTCTCCGCAGCGTCTAGATGGGCTATGAGGTCCACCCAGCCTCCAGTCCAACGGGTACCGAGGGCTCATTCCCCGGGGATAAGCGGCAAAGGAATGACTCTGAACACGCACCTCCATGTAGTGCCGAGTTCAAGAATGGTGTAGCTATACCCCCACTCCCCACGTGCTTCTGTAACGTCATGCTTAACTAATTAAGCAATTTTACTTTACCCTTCTACCTGGGGGATCTAATAAATCACGAGAAACCGTTTGTTCGGACCCCGGGATTCGATCTCCGTATATATTCGGTGCAAGTCAGCTATGATGCAGTGGTCAGATTAGTGGTTAGCCGTG